AGGTATTATAAATGTATGTATATATATGATTATTCTATCCTAAATTTTTCTCAAGGCATTATATCTGTATATAAATAATTATTTCATTCTGAACCTTTTTTTTCTAATTACAAGCAACCATGGATTCCAAGATATTGTTTAAGGCCCTGTCCAGACTATCACGTTTGCTCTATCAAATAAAAAATGTTGTACAGTGCCCATATATAGTCATGATGTGCCTATATATGGTCATGATGTGCCTATATATGGTCATGATGTGCCTATATATGGTCATGATGTGCCTATATATGGTCATGATGTGCTTATATATGGTCATGATGTGCCTATATATGGCCATGATATGATGTCATCATGACCATGTTTTGTCAAATAATAGTCTAAATAAGGTTTATAGTTTGTTTACAGACAATAATATTGTAATAGTGCATCTTATTTATGTTTAATAGATAATTTTTGGCTAATTTTTCTATAGTGAAAGGTAGTATATTGTAATGTATGTTTTTAAGCTTAAGGAAAAAAATGTTTCCCCCAATATAGTTTTAATATTATATAATGTACTTCTTCTTGCGTATGTTCTATATATTTTAGTATTTTAGTTTCCTTTGTTTTTAGCAGTTTCCTTTAATAAAGGAGGGTTATACTGGAATTAATACTTTCTTTATGTAATATGTCTTAACTATGGTAACTATCAGTTTACAGCAAATATATTATGTAATATTATAGTATATAAGACAAATATTAACAAGCAGGTGTGATTAGAATTAGCAGTATTATCTATTTTAAAGTAGGCTCATGCTACTTTAAATTTAATAGGTAATTATCAAACAAACATTTAGAAGAATTTTTGTATTTACAATCAGATTTTTTGGTGTATTAATGTTGTCTTTTATGATAAAAATATGTTAAATTACAGTAAGACAAATATTTAGAAGTTACAGTAGTTGTGATTAGACGCAATAGTATGTTCTCTCAATTTTACAATAGTCTGATGATGTAAATCTGATATGTTCAGTAGATTTATTAGTTGTAATTAGAATATTTTACATTTTACACAAAAATTATAGTTAAAAATATGCTAATTAAGGTTTGACAAATATATAGATGTTTTGTGATTAGAATAAGTGGTATACTATATTTAAAGTTACTCCTATATAAAGATAACTAAAGAAAAGTTGATATTAAATTATGCAAAATTCTGAAGCGCTTGTGGATTAAAAGAGTTGTAATCATGAACCCCCCTCACCCCATGGTATGTAAGCATAGGTACTGAAGCTGTAATATTCATCAAGTGCACACATTTATGTACCAGGTTCAATTTGAATTATAATTATGTATAATTATGTAGAATTAGATTTCCAATGTTGAATATAACCATTGTCTGTTTCATAAAAATATTGTTTATAGTATTTACTCCTATATAGATAACTAAAGAAAAGTTGATATTAAATTATGCAAAATTCTGAAGCACTTGTGGATTAAAAGAGTTGTAATCATGAACCCCCCACCTCACCCCATGGTATGTAAGCATAGGTACTGAAGCTGTAATATTCATCAAGTGCACACATTTATGTACCAGGTTCAATTTGAATTATAATTATGTAAAATTAGATTTCCAATGTTGAATATAACCATTGTCTGTTTCATACAAATACTGTTTATAGCAAATAACAAACACCAATAAAAATCACCACAAGAACTGAATACAAAACATGCAAACAAAATTGTATACTTGTTGACATGGCAACCACCAAAATAAGCGTTTATTTTGTCAACAGAGTTCACAGTTTTTTTCTTCATTACGAAAAGGTTTTTTTTATCAATATTTTAAATGCAAGAAAAAAATCTCAGAGCTCAATGCGATTTATTGCAAATATAGTCAAATTGCAAGAATTAGTATTACTCGCAAAGTCATAAGATAATTAGAGTACTCACAATGATTGTAGTGTATTTGTATGTGATTATTGTGTGATCAAACACCGGCTAATAAATGATGAACCAGACAAGAACATAGAGTCTACTTGTGTGTATATTTTGCAGTATATTTTTATACCTTGTTTTGCAAATTTACTTTTTAGTGTACGCAGGGGCGGATTTAGGGAGGGGGGGCCGGCCCGGCCCCGGCCCCCCTTTTGAGAAGTAAAAAAAAAAAAAAAAAAAAAAGAGGGAAAAAGAAAAAAATAATAGCCCAGAATGTCTCAAATGTTATGTTCGGGCGTCTAGAACACAAAAATTTCGCGGGGGCAAGCCCCCATACCCCCTTCGACAGTGTTGTCTCAATCGGCCCAACTTTCGGCCCCCTTCCGGCCCCCCCTTTTGGACATTTCTGGATCCGCCCCTGAAGATTGTCATAATAATAATGTCATAGTAATGTGGTGGTTAAATTCTTCGAATTTATATAATTAGGAAGAAATATACATCTTATTTTTGGACATTTCAAGGCAGCGGCAGGCATAATAAAAAGAATGAAAACTTTGCATTTTCATAGACTTTGGAGGGAAAAAATATTTAAAACTAAATCTTAAACATTTTTGGGGGTTGGATACATTTGGGTCAAACAAAAATATTCAATATACTATTTTTTATATGAACTACTTTGAAGATCACATCCTGGCAGCCTTCTTCAACATCCTTAAGAAGCTGACTCAGATGGAGGAACAATTATGTTACCAAAGATACTAGAAACACTGAAAGGAAGACCAGTTTCATAATCACAATTATATTTGTTTATATTTCTTTTTTCACCACTTCGTCATATAGGCGACGAACTGTCTGCTATAATAATAATAAATTCAAGAGTAAATTTACATTTTTTTTTATTAAAAGTAATCAACTTATATTACAATCCCATTCAACTATAGATTGAAATTCTGTTTATAGAAAGAAAACTTGAATTGTAAATAAATCATGCATTTTACAGTTATGTAAGCTATTTCATATCAAGTTTAGTAGGCTTTTATAAACATAGGCCTATGCTTATGAATTTTAAAATGTTATATAATGTAGCATCTTTATTTGATATCCATCTGACCAGGATCAATAAATTCACACTGTATGAGGTGATGAACGTTTGATAGCATCAGTGGATCATCTTGTACGTAGTGGTTAAAAGTTAATAAATGTTCAATTGGGAGTGCATATCTTCAAACTGTGATTCACCATGAAAATTACTGGGTGGAAGTGTACAATTGTTTTATGTTGTGCTGCTGCATTTAATTCTGTATCTGGTAAGTTAGGAGTTTGTCCCTATTCAAGTAGTCTTGTATTTAATATTAAACAAAAACTAAAATCGCATACATAGCAAATGTGTATCTGGTGATATTGTACTGCATATAATATGAATGTCACTACAAAAATTTTAATCACATGATTCTTAAATAAAAGGGAAACATAGAATAAAATTGTACTAAATGTAAAACAAGTTTCTTGATTTTTTTATTTTTTTTAATAAAACTAGGGTACTGATCCTATTCAAGACACCTACATAATATATAAATATCCGAAATTATACATATTTTGCACAAGTGTATTTCGTCTTTTTAATTGAATCAGATTGCAACATCCCGTCTTGATTATTGCAATATTCTAAATCTTAAATTTGCATACTTAATAATAATAATTATAATAATTGTCAACTTTTTATAGCGCGTAATGTAAAATACCTCTATGCGCTTTACATCAGAGAGTTGGATAAATTTTTAAAAATTTCATCTAATAAATAAATGAATGAATATCAACAATAATTATAAATATACTATTACATAAAGCTGAGCGTTTGGCTATTAAATTGGTATGGTTCCTGCCTCTTGCACGCCAGGGCCCGGGTTCGATACCCGGCTCTGTGTCGAGTATTTATTTCAGGTCTTTTATAATAACAAAAAAAACACTCAGCTCCCGAATAACTTTCTCAGCAGAGTTAAGCGAGTTAACAACCATGTTTGTATTCGTTTGATGTTTAGTTAAGGCATTAATTTATAAGTTAGCACCGGAACTTCTAACAGGCATTGCCTTCTTGGTTTCGGTAGTGTACCATAGGTGGTGGAATTAATAAAGTTTATAATTAACTATTAACTATTAGTTATGAAAAATTTGAAAATACAGTGATTTTATTTATATTTTTTTGATCTGTACCTACTTGTTAAATATTTATTTTCTTGCCCTTATTATCATACCTTTTTTCAAACTTTTTGTCTTTTCTTCCCTGTTCCTTCTTTACCACCTGTCCCTGTTTTTCTTTAGTTCCCTGTAATTTATTTCATCAACTTTCTTGCACCTCCCACTTTCCTTCTTTTATTTATATACTTTCTTTCATTTTTTCCTTTTCTTTTCTCTTTTTTTCAATAGATTTTGCTTTTCTTACCTTACATTTTCCTTTTCTTTTCTTTGCACATTTCTTAATCTTTCCTTTTTCTTTCATTACCATTTCCTTTTTTTTAAATTTTTTCTTTTCCTTCTGAGTCCTTTGATTTCTTGGCTTCCTTTTCATATCTTTACCTTAATACCTTCCTTTTGTCTTTCTTTAGCTTCCTTTCTTTTCATTATCATTTTCTCCTTATTTTACCTTTCCTTTTTTCATTCACTTTCTTTTCTTTACCTTTTAATTGTTTTTTTTTTCTTTTTCTTTTCCTTTCTTAAACTTTTCATTTTCTTTCTTTTTCTTATTCATTCTTTACATTTTTGTTTCTTTTTCTTCAGAAGCTCCAAAACTCAGCTGTACGCATTAGGCAAAGATCTTAAATAGCAAAATAGTGCTCTCTGCACAAAAAGTAATTGTAATGGAGAGAGGGGTCCTAGTTGTTACCATGGTTGTTACACATATAGAAGTTGCAGAATGTGCTATCTTGAGTTAACATCATTGATGTCAAAGTTGAAAAGTAATTGTAATTTACAGAATTTGAGAGCTGAAATTGCAGAAAACGCTATCTTCTTATTATAATCTTTGGCATTAGGCTATAACATATTTCCAAAAATATCGGTGAGCTTCTATCTTCGCTCTCACATCAACTTGGTGGTGAAAAAAATACTTGACTTCTAATCCAGGGTCCTGGGTTCAGTTTCTGTGACAGCAGGACTTATAACGAGCCAAATGGCCGAGCGGTTAAAGCAGGGGCACCGTGATCATAGCCAACAATATCGGCACGGGTTCGGCGGTGGAACCAGTCTTTTCGGATAAGGATTATAAACCGTAGGCCCAGTGTACACAAATGCTCATGTGCACTTTAAAGAACCTAGTACATCTTTCGAGATGAGTAGGGGGTTACCCCGGTGTATTGGTTCATTCAGCCCCTGTCGTGGACAGATGAAAGTGCGGCGGTTTCCTGGCTGCTGAAGACATGAAGTGACCCTTAGGGGAGGACAAAGCTATGTAAAGTGCAACATCTAGCCCCGAGCGCATAGAGACCATGTATTATGCGCTATATAAGTCTCCAACCATTACCATTACCATTATAAAGCATTATCCATCCTGTAATTAGCAAATTACTTGCTGTTGGATGCGAATGAAATGAAAAATAAAATAAATACATAAACATAATTGCTAAATTGTTACTGTTTCTGTGAAACTAAATAATGTATTTGGTTCAAAAAAACTGTCTTAATATTTTATGTCTTTTATCTCTTCAAAACAACTCACTGTTTAACTTTGTCTGCTCAACCAAATTATATCACTTGGTAACCTATATGACTAAGAAAAACTACATGTTCTACAACTGGATGTTTTATTTAAAAAAATAATTGTATTTTGTAGCTCACACAACCATACCTACTTCTGGTGGTAAAGTTGACTACATTTAAATTCTTTTGCACACTACAGTATAACAGTGTTGTTTAGTCCCAGTGATAATAATTCATGTAAAAGACCTCACAACATGAACAGTAAAGAACAAAGTATTATGGTAAAGAACAAGATAGCGCTTTCCATGATTCTAAGCACAACAAATAGAAGGATCGATGATCAGTAAAAAGAGCATAAAAAGTAGTTGTATTTGAGAGAGGAGATCAGTAAAAAGAACATAAAAAGTAGTTGTATTTGAGAGAGGGAGTCCTATTTGTTACCACGGTGGTTGGTTGTTCCAGAATTTGCATTCAAAAGTAATTGAAATTGCAAGGATGCCTTGCACTGTGTTGTTTACAGAATTTGGATGCAGAAATCGCTATCTTGTTATTATAAGATCTTTGGTAATGGTATACAGTATGGTGGCGCTCTTAAATCTAAATTCTGAAGATACTGTATAGATTTTATCTTTTTCTTTTTGATAGTTTAAGCTAAGGATACACATAACATACTGACGTTTCAATAAAAAAATAATTTTTACTTTGTAGCTCACACAACCATATCTACTACTTCTGGTAACATCCAATGGCCAACGACTGAAGGTAAAGTTAACTATAATAACTGTCAAATTATAAAACAGCATGAGTTTTGCCTACTACTAGTATTAGTGTTTGGTCCCAGTGAATATAATGCACTTAAGACCTCACAACATAAACATAACTAAACTACCGTACATTATTACTATATTACAAGTGAAGTAATGGTACCAGTATGGTGGTGCATTAAAATCTAAATTCTGATGCTACTATATATGGATCTTTTCCTTTTCGGCAATTTAAGCTATGGATACACATAACATACTGATGTTTCAATGAAAAATAATTGTATTTTGTAGCTCACACAACTATATCTACTACGTCTGGTGATACCCAACGGCCAACGACTGAAGGTAAACTTGACTAAAATAATTTTCAAATTATAAAACAGCACAAGTTTTGCCTACTACTAGTACCAGTGTGGTTTCGTCAGTAAAAATAATGCACTTAAAAGACCTCACAACATGAACATATATAAACTAAAGTATGTTACTAAAATCAAAATTATTGGTGGCAAGTGAAGTAACGGTAACAGTATGGTGGCGGTATTAAATCTAAATCCTGATGCTACTGTATATGGATTTTAAAAAGCTCACACAACCATACCTCACAAAATGGACATATCTAAACTACCGTACATTACCACAATCAAAATTATTGGTGCACAACTTGTATTCCGTTTCAATATAAATTTTGTATATGGATTTTAATATCTTTTCCTTTTTGATAATTTTAGTAAAGGATACTGGAACACAACGGCCAACTACTAAAGGTAAAGTTGACTTTTGCTACTGTATATGGATTTTATATCTTTCATTTTGATAAATTAAGCGATACACATAACATACTAATTTGAAAAAAAAAATTTGTACTTTGTATCTCTGTCAATCATATCTACTACTTCTGGTGATACAAAACGGCCAACGACTGACGGTAAATTTCACTATAATAATTGTTAAATTACAAAACAGCAACATAATTAAACTACCAAATGTTACTACAATCAAAATTATTGGTGCAAAACATGTATCCCATTTCAATTCAAATTTTGTATATGGATTTTTTCCTTTTTGATAATTTAAACTGAGAAAACACAAAACATTACTTATTTAAAAAAGAAAATAATTTGTACTTTGTAGCTCTCACAACCATATTTACGACTTCTAGTGATACCCAACGGCCAACGACTGAAGGTAAAGTTGACTATAATAATTGTCAAATTACAACAGCAACATATTTAAACTACCAAACGTTACTACAATCAAAATTATTGGTGTACAACTTGTATTCCGTTTCAATTGAAATTTTTTATATGGATTTTTTCCTTTTTGAGAAATTAAACTACGAAAACACAAAACCATTACTTATTTAAAAAAGAAAATAATATGTACTTTGTAGGTCTCACAACCATATCTACGACTTCTGGTGATACCCAACGGCCAACTACTGAAGGTAAAGTTGACTATAATAACTGTCAAATTATAAAACAGATGAGTTTTCAATACTACTAGAACTAGTGTGGTTTGGTCCCAGTAAAAATAATGCACTTAAAAGACCTCAAAACAAAAACATGTCTAATCTAAAGTATTTTACTACAATAATAATTATTAGTACATGCCTTGTATTCTGCTTCAATTGAAATTTTATGCTACTATATATAGATTTTTATATCTTCGTTTTTGATAAATTAAGTGATACATATAACAAACTGATTTAAAAAAAAGAATTTGTACTTTGTAGCTCTCACAACAATATCTACGACTTCTGGAGATACCAAACGGCCAACGACTGAAGGTACATTTGACTATAATAATTATCAACTTATACAACCGCAACATATTTAAACTACCAAACGTTACTACAATCAAAATTATTGGTGCACAACTTGTATCCCATTTCAATTGAAATTTTGTATATGGATTTTTTCCTTTTCGATAATTTAAACTGAGAAAACACAAAACATTACTTATTTAAAATGTAAATAATTTGTATTTTGTAGCTCTCACAACCATATTTACGACTTCTGGTGATACCCAACGGCCAACGACTGAAGGTAAAGTTGACTATAATAATTGTCAAATTACAACAGCAACATATTTAAACTACCAAACGTTACTACAATCAAAATTATTGGTGCACAACTTGCATCCCGTTTCAATTGAAATTTTGTATATGGATTTTTTCCTTTTCGATAATTCAAACAGAGAAAACACAAAACATTACTTATTTAAAAAAGTAAATAATTTGTACTTTGTAGCTCTCACAACCACATCTATGACTTCTGGTGATACCAAACGGCCAACGACTGAAGGTAAAGTTGATTATAATAATTGTTAAATTATACAACAGCAATATATTTAAACTACCAAACGTTACTTCAATCAAAACTATTGGTGCACAACTTGTATTCCGTTTCAATTGAAATTTTTTATATGGATTTTTTCCTTTTTGAGAAATTAAACTACGAAAACACAAAACCATTACTTATTTAAAAAAGAAAATAATATGTACTTTGTAGGTCTCACAACCATATCTACGACTTCTGGTGATACCCAACGGCCAACTACTGAAGGTAAAGTTGACTATAATAACTGTCAAATTATAAAACAGATGAGTTTTCAATACTACTAGAACTAGTGTGGTTTGGTCCCAGTAAAAATAATGCACTTAAAAGACCTCAAAACAAGAACATGTCTAATCTAAAGTATTTTACTACAATAATAATTATTAGTACATGCCTTGCATTCTGTTTCAATTGAAATTTTATGCTACTATATATAGATTTTTATATCTTCGTTTTTGATAAATTAAGTGATACATATAACATACTGATTTAAAAAAAAGAATTTGTACTTTGTAGCTCTCACAACAACATCTACGACTTCTGGAGATACCAAACGGCCAACGACTGAAGGTACATATGAATATAATAATTGTCAAATTATACAACCGCAACATATTTAAACTACCAAACGTTACTACAATCAAAATTATTGGTGCACAACTTGTATCCCATTTCAATTGAAATTTTGTATATGGATTTTTTCCTTTTCGATAATTTAAACTGAGAAAACACAAAACATTACTTATTTAAAAAAGTAAATAATTTGTACTTTGTAGCTCTCACAACCATATCTACGACTTCTGGTTATACCAAATGGCCAACGACTGAAGGTAAAATTAACTATAATAATTATCAACTTATACAACAGCAACATATTTAAACTACCAAACGTTACTACAATCAAAATTATTGGTGCACAACTTGCATCCCATTTCAATTGAAATTTTGTATATGGATTTTTTCCGTTTTGATAATTTAAACTAAGAAAACACAAAACCATTACTTATTTAAAAAAGAAAATAATTTGTACTTTGTAGCTCTCACAACCATAACTACAACTTCTGGTGATACCCAACGGCCAACTACTGAAGGTAAATTTGACTATAATAACTGTCAAATTATAAAACAGATGAGTTTTGCCTACAACTAGTACCAGTGTTGTTTGGTCCAAGTGAAAATAATGCACTTAAAAGTCCTCACAACCTGAACATATCTAAAATAAAATATTTTACAACAATAATAATTATTGGTACATTCCTTGTATTTCCTTTCAATTGAAATTGTATGCTACTATATATGGATTTTTATATTTTTGTTTTTGATAAAATAAGCAATACACAAAATATTACGTATTTAAAAAAGAAAATAATTTGTACTTTG